CGGCGCTCATTATACTTGATATAGCGCCAACGTTTGACACAGTCAATTATCCTTCTTCTTCTATACCTCTACTCACTTGGCTTCCAGAACACCATACTCTAATGGTTTTCCTTTTGCCTTCCTGGGTGCACTCAGTCTCTTTTGCTAGTTCCTTTTCTTCTTTTGAACTATTAATGCTATAACTATCCAGATTCTCCTCTCTATCAACATTCATTCCGTTGGTGAACTTACTCATGTCATAATTTAAAATACCATCAATATGCTAGACTCCAAAATTTATATCTTTAGCCTTCTTTCCTGAATTTCAAATGTCTGTATATCATCTCTGTGTGCACATAATATATACAAAATTGAGTTCCTGATCACCTTCCCCAAACCTAACCCATTTGTAATTTTCTCTACCTCCATTTTTGGCAGCTCTTTCTGGTTGCTTGGGCCAACAATATTGAGTCATCCTTGACTCCTTCCTTCTCTCGTATTCCATATCTTATTCACCATGAAATCCTGTTGGCTCCACTATCAAAATGTATTTAGAATCAGACTACTTCTCACTACCTCTGTTACTACTAATTTGAGCCAAGACATGACCTCCCCTCACTTGGATTTCTACAATTGCCTCTGAAATGATCTCCCTGATTTTACACTTGACTCCTTAAAGTCTATTGTCAGTACAACCAGAGTGATGCTTTTAAAATACAAGTCAGATCATGTTAACTTTTGACCCAGAATCCTCCAGTAGCTCCACAACCACTTACCGAAAAACTCAAAATCTTTGCAATGGCCTTTTAAAGACCCTTCATAATCTCTTATATTTTTGACCTCATCTTCTAGTATTCTCCCCCCACTTACTGCTCCAGTCACATTGGTCTCATTTTTCTAGAACACAGCAAGAACATTCCTGCCTTGAGGCCTTTGAACTAGCGGCTTCATCTGAGGCATTCTTTTCTCAAATACGCACATGGATAACTCCCTCCTCTCCTTCAAGCCTTTGCTCAGATTACATCTTTTCAAACAGGCCTGCTCTGATCACCCTTTAAAATTATAAATTGCCTCAAATCCCAACTCCATCTTGGTGATCCCCCTGACTCTTCTATTTTATCTGTTTATATATTTAATAGAACTTACCTTCTAATATACTATATAATTTGCTTAATTACGGTGTTTAATACTTTTATTTGTTTTTATCTACTATTATGTAAGCTCCAGGAGGGTAGTATTTTTCAAATCTATTCACAAAGGTATTTCAAGCACTTAGACTAGATCCTGGCAAATATTAGTTGTTTGACAAGTACATGCTGAATGAATGAATGAGTTATTTGAGAAGAAGGATCTGTAGAGGAGGGAGTCCCTCCTGCTGACTTCCCACATCATCAGGAGGATATTTGGTTACTGTGATCTATGTTACTGACTTGGTAGATCAAGAAAGACTCTCACAGGCTTTTTGTGACCTGGAAAGACCACCTAAAAGGCAGAACTATCTAGGAAAAGTTGAAATCACTTTAGCTACAAAGCCACATTTGCCTGAGGTCTCTTGTCAGAGTGACCCTCACTAGAAGGGACCTTAGACCTGAAGTCTATCTCACATTCCCTAACATTTTTCTCTACTCACATCTTCCTAGTTCTGTCATGAGACCCTGTATGTGACTTAAGCATGTAGGCCATTGGTCATCTTGCTTCTGTTTGTTCACACCCAACACTATAGTCCTGTAGGTGTCATTCCCCACCTTAGTCCCAATTCATACTAGCTTCCCTTCCAAGTCTTTCATGACTCATTGCTACGGCGACTTAACAAAGCAACTGTATTTATCACATTTAATAGTATTGCTATGGGCTGGATGTTTGTGTCCCTTTAAAATTCATATGTTGAAATCCTAACCCCCAAGGTGGTGGTATTAGGATGCTGACCTAATTGGGAAGTGATTAGGTTCTGCCCTCATGGATAGGATCAGTGCTCTTATAAAAGAGGTTCTAGAGAGCTGCCTTACCCCTTCCACCATGTGAGGACACAGCGAGAAGGCACCATCTACGAACCAGGAAGCAGGCCTTATCACACACCAAGTCTGACAGCACCTTGATCTTGGACTGTTCAGCTCTCAACCTGTGAGAAATACATTTCTGTTGTTTATAAGCCACTAAGCTTATATTATTTTATTATAGCAGTTTGAGTGGACCATTGGAAAGTATCATAACATTCTAGAAATCACCTTCTTCTTGAAGATGTTTTTTAAGTTTTACACTGGTTTTTATAATGACATCCAAATTTATCTCCTACTCCTCATCTTCTCCACCTAATTTATTCTTTGTATTGTTTCTAGATTAAGGTTCTGAAAAACAGCTCTAATCCCAGTCTTTGGGAAATACTCAAAGGTTAGGGTTAGGGTTGGGGTTAGGGTTAGGGTTAGGGTTAAGGTTAGGGTTAGGGTCAAAGTAGCTCCCAAGACTGCTGAATAAAGTCCAAATCTCTTGCTTTAGTATCCTAGGCTGTCTATAATCTAGCCACAGTCTACCTCTTAAGTCTCATTTCTATGTCCTCATACGTACCTTAAACTTCAGAGAAAATGGAGCACCTGATGCTCCTTAAACACATCGAGGAAATTTCTTACGTGTGTGCCTTTCTCATAGTGTTAATTCCATCTGGAGTGTTCTTTATCCCTTTTCTGCCTCTTGAATTCCTTCCAACTCAGACTGAGCTTAAATATCATCTCCTCTATGAAATTACCCTGAAGCATCCTTCAACGAAGAGATATTTCCTTACTCTAAACTCCCATATCACTTTATCTCAACTTCTCTTCCAGCAATGATCACTTCTGCCCTCTAACACATTTGTAAGTATACTTGCCATTTTTCTTCCCTGCCCTCTTCCACCCCAGACTATGAGCTCTCCTTCACCAGACTGAATTTTATTCATTTTGATGTGCTCCACCGTTCTTAGCTCCATGCCTGGCACCTCAGAGACACTCAGCAGTCTGTTGAATAAATGAATACATTTCTAATTTTATCTACTGGGCTATGTAACTCTATACTAACTCCTTTCCTCTTACAATACTCTACTCTTTTGTCATCTGCTTTCTTTCCCTTTCTGGCCCTTTTGGAGCCAGACTTTGCAATAGATCTCATGCCTTAAGCTACCCAATAAAAAAGAGTATAAGAGAATTAGGAAAGGGCTCAAATCATTATTTCCTCATGTGTTACATTCATTAAATTGGTTCATATATTTTTAATGTAGAAATACAGATATAACTCTTATCTTTGCATTGCATAAATCCTGACTGAGTTACACAGTTTTAGAAGTGTTTTTATATTTATTTTCTCACATAATTGTCAAGGTCCTACTGGCAGTTATTAAGGAACAAGCCATGTCATTCTACTCTTTTTTAGAGACCAGAAGTACTAAGAACCAAACATCTTGGAGGAGACAGGATGGTTCTACTTTCAAATGTTCTCCTGGTGTAAGACCATGTGTCAGAGTTTTGGCTTCAGATATTATGCTTGATGTGATAAGCAATTATTACTCTTGGATCCCTTATGTTCATAAGTACTTGGGTTCCTGAGTGAGAGGAGGAAAGCTATTGATATTTCAAAATAAAACAGTAACTGCCTTTGCTGATATATATTCATTGTGGTAGCCTTGTCTTTCCACTTGAAGAAAAGTAACTGTCTGAGAATTAACCAACCATCATTTATTGACCATCTACTCTGTACCCAACCTTATGCTGAATTAGAAAGACTTTGAGTGGTGGGCCTAAATCTTATTCATCTTTGTAATCACTACCTCCCCTCCAATGGGGCCAAGTTTAATATACTCATTCAAGAATGTATTGACCATTTGCTGTGAACCAGGCAGAGTGCTAGGCACTGAGTATAGGAAGATGAATATGTCTGGTATCTGCTTTCAGTGAACTTAGAATAAAGGAGGAGAAACCAACAATGAAGCAAATGATTACAATATAGCATGGCAGGTTCTATATCAAGTATTTCTCAAGAATGTGTGGTAGAAGCATCTAGAATGGCCAGCTCAAGTATCACTCTTTTTAGAAGCTTTCTCTAGGTCTTTAAAAGGTTTAGTAGGGACTTAATTTATGTTTGCTCAACAAAAGAATAACTATGAAAATTTAAACACAATAAAAGGCCAAAAGTAGTAAAATGGCCAGTGAATAGCAGAGGCAGTGAGTGTAGAAAGAGTTTGCAGGGAGATTACTGTGGGACTGGTGGCTTATGGGAAGCAGCAATGAATTCCCCAAGCCCAATCTGATTGACGGCCCCCAAAAGTCTATCGAGATTAAATTCTTAGTCTGATTGTACTGTAAGTACAGAATCATAGGTCAGCTTCTGCTGAAGAATGTTCTGATATACTCTTCAGAGTTACAATTGGGATAGCTGTCTGGATTAATTTCAGGGTATGCGACACTTTGATCCTCTAAACATAGATTATATTTTTTGATATTCTACACAGCTATGAACCTTCCCTTGCTACTCTTTGTGGGAATTGGGGAAATAAATCCTCAATGAATGTGGCAAAAAAGAAGTCCGTAATATGATCTGCCTATGCTTATTAAAAGGTAGTGAAGTCTCTCTAACCAAAGGATGAGTTCTTTACATCTGGGAAAGAAAGAGTTGGACTCTATTCTGCATCATCTATCATAAGCTGCTAGCTGTGGTCCAACAGTTGAATATTTATTACAAGCAATGATGGAAGAGGCAAAAAGAGCCTGGTTTGATTTTCCAGATGTAAGGCTGTGTTTTAAACCACCACTTAGAAAAATGCTTTGACTTAGTCACTGAGCCAGCTTGATTTGGAACTGTCACCACCAAGAGAGAAAATGTCTGGAATACTGTAATGTCATTTCTGGGCAGTCTGTCTTTTATGACTTTCTGCGCATTACTAAAGGGAGGCAAGTGGATACAGTGTTGGATTGGGGACTACACGAAACCATTAGCGCTGTCATTGTAGGCAGAAACAAGACCACCAGGCAGAGCACAAGACCACCCAACATAAAACATGAGCTCCCATTAGCAACATCGTTGAGACTATCTGCCCTTGACATTTACATTTCAGAATGTTGAGCCACCAAGCATGCCATAGGATAATTATTGCTTTGTGATGATATTTAGCAACTCACAATGTGGACCACCAATTCTGGTTTGGGTTTCTTCTTTTTATTAGCACCATCTGAGAATGTCTGTGGTAGAGACTTTGGTGAATTTCGTCTGTCCTGTGGCCAAAGGAATGAAAGGAAGAGCAAGTTAGTTTGTTAACATGGAAGAATTCAGCAAAA